CTGCAGCCCCGGTGGCAGGCGGCCGTGCTGATCGCGGGGGATAAGCTGCTTACAGCGACCCAGCTGGGGCGGCCTCGCAGCCGGGCTTTGGGCGTGAAATGGGGGACAAAGCCGCAGGTTTGCCCCTGCGCTCGGAGGCGCGGGCACAGAGAGGCGTGTGCCCCGACCCTGGGGGTCTGGCGAGGCCCGGTGGCATGTCCGGCGGTGGCTCTCACAGTGAGTAAGTGCCGACGAGGGGCCTCCAGTCGCGAGAGCAGGGCCTGGAATGGCTCCCCCGGGCTGGGGGGGATGGCCCTCCCGTTCCCACCACCCATCCCGGGACTCTGCCTGGTCCGTGCCTGGCAGCCGGCGAAGGGAGCTGCTGGGCGGCCGTGCCTCAGCTGCCGGGGCGGGAACTGCCCTCTCTGGTTGAGGGAAGGACGCTTGTGCCTGCCTGTTGATGCCGAAGCGGCGATGAGAGGCTCTGCGAGGGCAGCGATGGCTCAGTTTGTAAGACTCGAGGAGTGGGGGGAAAACCTTGTTTCTATGGCACATGAAGCATGATCTTGGACCAGTCGCCGTTCCCAACCTACAACGTGAAGTGGATCAGCCTTGGTCTGCAGGGATGGGAAAATTAGTGTTGTCTGTGCAGTGCTTACGTGTTTATCACGGGCCTGTCATTGTTACCATAACGCTAAAATGGCATTCACTTGAAAGAGCTTGATTTACTTTTCATGAACCATGCTATTTACCTGCTTTTGCTTATAACAACGGAAGAACATTGATCAGCTTAATTTTTGTTTGCCTAATTGGATTTGTTTCAGGTTTTAATGCATTAGTGTATTGCTGCAAAGTGTACATAGTAATCATGCATTAAGTGTTTTAGTTGGAAATGTAAAAACTAGTACGAAATCCATTGGCCATGGATTTTGCAGTTTTCAAAATCTGCAGCTTGCCTTGAGTATGTCTTTTAGCCTGAGAAGAAGTTTTAAAAAAAGCACTTCATAAAATCTTGTTGCCTTTTGAGTAACTACTGCTTAAAGGGGTTACGTTAAAGTCCTGAATGGCAGTTTAGGGAAGGCAGACCAACATGATTTTTAAAGGACTCTTCCTGATCTCAGTGAGACTGAAATTAGGAATGAGTGAGGTGAAGAACACCACCTAAAATAATCATGGTAGTGTGTTGAAAACCTGGTATCTCCTAGAAAGAACTGAAATGGAGAACTAAAAATAATCACGAGTTATCAAGAAAATAGATTCTCTCTAGCATAAAATAGTTAGGTGCCAGGTTCCAGGTGTTCATGGAGCAAAGCAGCACTGATAAACATGATGACTTCATGCCTTCTCACATTTCAAATCCTTTATAACACCCTTTTGTGATACACTGCTAGTTGGCTGAGTATTCCTGGGATGTGAGGAGCGCTTCTAGAGAACACCAGTCTGCTGCATTTTGTGGTTATACTTCATGCAGTGATAGGCACTCTAAACAAGGCAGCCATGCTTTGTCTGTGCACTCTGTAGCTGCCAACTTTGTCTTGTCTGGAAAAAATAATGGGATCTTTCCATTCGTGGTACACTTGGTGATGGATGAAAGGCAGTAACCGCAGTTCCCGAGGATAATTGCGACACTGCATGATTGTCTCCTGTTGCTTTAGTACTTGAGTTTACTCCCCAGTTTGTGGTGATTACTGAAAGAGTTTGCATGTGAGAAGGACAAGTGAGCCGTTTGCAAACAGAGGACTGAGGCTGAGATGCTTTCTTAGAAGAGAATGAGATAAACATAGTTTGGAAAGAGAGTGCTATTTCACAGGAGGCTTTCTGGTATTTGAGTATGTTTGAAAAAGACAATGGGCATTGATTTCTTATGCTGTGGTGTCTCTTCAGATTGACTAGGGTTTTTTTTTAAGATTATAAAGGTGTGTGCGTTTTTTCACAATACCATTTTCATTTTTTTAAAATGGGGGTGGGAAAGAATGGTGGTTAGAATGACAGAGTGACTGAACTTGCTTTTAAAATTTGAGGAAATGAAATCACAGTCCCCTCAACTGCACTTACCTATTAGCAGCAACTTATGCATCTGTGCTCAGCATGAGTATTACATGTATAACTGTCTTAGTGGCTCGACTTCAAATGAGGTCTCCCATTTGTGCTGTAACTCTTCCAGGTTAGGGGACAATGTAAATTCTCTGGATGTTTAAACATGGTTTCATGTTTACATGTGCACAAGAGGAAATTGGCCTGCATAGCCTTAAACCTTTGCAGGGCTGTAGCATATGTGAACAAATTTTCACTTGTTCAGCAGTTAAACAGTACCTTAAGTCGAGTCACTACCTTTCCTATCAGCCCTAGAGAAAATACAAGTGTGGAGGAGATATGAGCTGGATTTCCAGTCAATGACAATGGGTAAGCATTGTACTCCAGCTGTGTTGCTCTAACTTCTGTAAAAACATTTTTTGTTAGACCTGTTCTTGCTTGGTGTCACGTAGATCTGGTTAGATGTAAAGCATTCTGGAAAAGCAGCTACAGACTACCTTGTCTTGGCAGCAGAATAATTCAGCCTTGCTAGCAACAAGTTCTTTTTGAGGCTGCAGGTGAATGCATAATGCTGGAAGTCTTTGTTTTCCAGGTTTTCTGTTGAGAACAGAGTCTGTCCCCTTCAGTCATTCCTGCTCTGCCAGACATGATTGTCTGCTGAGGAACATGAAAAGAGTAGCGGCTGTAATACTTTCAGGACTGATGCTGGTGGATTGGAGAAATTTATAAGGAAAGTACTCAAAGCCTCTGGCAAACTAGGCAAGATATGATGAGAAATATGCATGCTCCTTTGTTTATTTCTTCTTATTTTTCTTCAGAGCAAAGAAACATTCAGAAGAACGTCGATTTTGAGCGGTATTTGAGCACTAGAAGTCAAGTAGACATTTCTCATAACTGTCTTGAGGCTACAGCATTCAGTGTAACTCCCAGCCAGACAGCAGAACAAGGCCAGCTGTGTCCCGCACCTCTGTCAGGTGGGAAGAGAGATCCCGGTCAGAGACAGACTAATCTCTCCTGCCCTTCTCAGCCATTCCAGGACACCACCACTCAGTTCACCAGTTCCTGCTTCCTGCAGCAGAATAATCTCTGCTCTAGGCTGCAGCAGCAGAGCTCTAAGTGTGTGGCTCATAGGATTCCCCATCTTGCTTTGTCAGTGCTCCCTGCTGTGAATCTCCCTCAGAGACACTCACGCCTTGAGGCTTATAGTTTAGAAGGGAGAAGGAATGAGGATATTGACATTCATCAACACCACCATCAGAAGTCAGGGGCAGTTGGTAGCTGCTCCATACACACTGCTGACCATCACTGTTTAGAAAATAGGAACAAGAATAGTGACTCTTCAGTGGAAAAACAAAAGCATCAACCTCCTGCTGCTTCTTGTATGGATCCTGTGAACCCTTCACCGGTCAATCCACATTTGCCATCTCTTGCAGTAGATTCCCCTCTTAGGCACAAATTAGTGGCGTGTCCCTCTTCAGGGAGTTCAGGTGAAAGTGTAAATGCTTGTCACAGTTCAGCACTGGCCTTGGGAGATCTCAGTCCATCTGGTTTGGAGTCCCTTCGGTCTCTTCTGCAATCTTCACAGATTTCTGCTGGTTTGTACAGTTCAATCGAGAGGCTTAAGCAGGAAACTGCTTTGATGGGGATGTGGGGCTCCCTCCCTCAGGAGCCCAAGTCTTCCCCAGTCAGTAGCAGTTTGTGCTTTGCTCCTGATGTTTCACCTCCTAGTATCCTGAGCACGGGAGAACAGCTAGCTGGAGTAAAGACCAGTGCCACTCAGGCAAGATTGAAATGGGGTGTCCCATTTGCTAAAGACTGGAGCCTTGGTGCCCTGACAAGGGACTTTGGTCATGTAGAACCTCTCTCTGTCTCTCACAGATACAGGTACATTGACTTGAACTCATGGAGAACCAAAATTTCAGGTGACATCCAGCCAGAAACCATCTCTTCTGGGGTGGGCTCTGGTAGGCTAGTGGATACAGAAGCAGATTCCTCCTACAGTTGCTCCCCTTATTTCAGATGCCAGTCCCAGGCAAAGCCAACTCTGGAAACTGGTAGTCTTTATGTTCACACAAAAAGTCATTCCCCTGAAAAGGTTCTTAAAGGAGAAGAGATAGTTGGTGGGGCATCCCCACGTGCTATATCTTGGAAGCGAGACCTGCCAGCCAGTCCGTATCTAGAGGCTCTGCAGGTATCACTGGAGGCAGATTTGAGTGGGGCTCAGGTGAACGTTGGTGTAGCCATGTATGGGACTCCAAGGGAAGTGTGCATGAGAGTTGCTTCTCCTCCTGGAGATAAAGAGTTTAGACCAGTCCAGCAGCTTAGTATTAAATCTGTAGAAGTCAGTAACTCTGAACCTCATGTTAAGTCCAGCAAAGAGTCAGAAAAAGTATGTGACTCTAGATCACAAGCAGCCAGAAGAGTGGCATTTGAAGAAGGCTTTGGTGAATCTTCTGATATAGATTGTATGAATATGAGCAGAGAAGGAAGGAGAAACAAACACTCCTACCGAAGCAGCTGGAGGAACTGGGAAGCTGCCGCCAATTTTGACCAGTCTGAAGAACCTTCTGCGCAGAGGAGTGCCAAAGAACCACGGTGCTGTGAAGAAGGGAGCCAGACAAAGGAAACTGTGTCCAGAGAGGTGAGGGTGTGCTCACTGTGTAGCATCCCTGTTCACAGATACTGTTTGTACTTGTTTTCGCTTCTTGCTAGAGGCACAGAGTTGAGGTACAACTGTGGTGGGGATGCTTGTCCTATAGTTTTTTTCTGGCACTGAATGGCCAGAATCTCTTCTCTTGTGGTCCTGCTCCATTCAGACATATGCATCCTTCTGTCTCACATGCTCCTTCCTAAAGACCAGCTTGCTAACTTAGTTGTTCTTGGGAATATAAACACCTGTTTGTATTCTCTGCATCTACGTGCAGAGAGAAAGCATTAAACTGGTTTTCACTCTGTGTGTAGTTGCAGGGCCTTAAGATTTCAGTTTGGTTCTGCTTTTCCATGTCTGAAGTATCTAAGAGTATGCACAGAGCAATGGTGGGGGTAGTGTCAAAGGCATCTGACATAATACTACTCTGAGACTGTTCTGGTCTCCATCCAAAATTACTTGCCATGCTGGCCACAGATAAATTCTTCAACAGAGTATTGTGAATAATCATGTGAGTCTTTCGTCTGTTTGCAGGTGTTGGGGAACAGCTGCTGGTCGTTGAAGGTGAATGAACAAAGGTAAAAAGACTCTGTGTCCATATGTGGGTGTGCTGGTAGTTAAAAGAGGAGGAAAACTGCTGGAAAGTGGCTAAGGGGGCATGTTCCTGGGAATGTTTGGTTTTAGGACTTAACCTACATTATTCTGCCATAGTTAGCTCAGGGGCTGTATCTATTTCTTACCTATTTCTTTCCAGAGAGTTGCCATCTAGAATGGAGAATGGTCTAAAAAAAAAATTTCTGTATCTTTTAAACTCTAGCTTCTAAATCCAACATTGGTTGTGGCTAGCAATGAAAAAGCATTGGTACCATGTGTGCTGCTTTCTGGGGCAGCAAATTCTGGCATGCTCACTGCACAGTTAAGGAAGATCAAGAACTGGGCTTACCCATGAGATGGGATTCAAATTTGTGACCTGTGGATAAAATGTGTGTGAGATTGCTACCAATTTAACAACAGTGATACCTTAATTTAGTGTGAGGCTGCAGGTTTTTCACTCTTTAGAGAGAATGATTTGAAATACCTCTTTTCAGCTTGATGGCTGAACTCTGATTGCCACCTCCTGGCTGTGTTTAACTTTCTGTTAACTGGAGCTCATTTTTGTTTTTTCTCTTTTTAAGTTTCCAGCACTTATGTGACAGACAAATTCTAACTAGGTGTTTCCAAGCCTGGAGGAGACACGTTCTCTGGAAGAGGGCTGCATCCAGGCAGCTTTACAGACAGCAACTGCTTCGGAAGGGCCTTGGTGCTTTGCAGTGGGCTGTGCACCAAAGGAGGATGCAGCTGGAGGTAGCCCAGCAGAGATATGCCTCGGCTCTGCTAGCTGTCAGCTTCCGCAGGGTGAGGATGGGCTGGGGACAGTGGAAACAGTCCCATGAGTTTTCTGTTGTGCAGTCAGAGAAGGCAGAAATCCTGTTTGGATAGAGAGGAGGAAGGGAGTGCCCTGTGTGAAATTGAGTGATGTGAACCCTGATGCTGATACTCTGCCTGCAGTTTGTTCTAATCATGTGGGTTTTCCTTCAGTGGAAGGACGCTGTAGCAAAATGGAGCAAGAAGCAAGCTTCACAGCCTAAGCCATATTCCTGTACCCAAAGTTCATCAGTCGGGTTTCTTGGAGTGGGAAGATTAGCAACTATGACAACTTCAGCTCAGCACCAGTTTACAGTAGGATACTCAAAGGAAGCAGAGCAGGCTCGCAGGTAGGTTGAGATTATTCTGCTATCTTGGACAAGTGGAAGTTTACAAGCACAGGGAAGAATTCTTCTCAGATGGTGGCAAACTTGTTTCCAGGTCCTTGGATGTGTTCCTGCATATAAGCACTGCAAGAATTAGTAACTTAGCTTTAAGAACTAAACAGTCCTATTCCAGATCTTCTGTGCATTAGTGTTTTCAGTCTGATATGAGTGTCTGACAGAAATACTCCTGTACTATTTCTTGAGGTTAGCTGTTACCTGCATACGTGATACAGGCATAAATGAGATTGGAGTGAGGCAATACTACAGTCTCTAGCAGGACAGTAGAGGTGTCAAAAGAAAAACCTTTTGTGCCTTCTGATTCTGAAGGCAGAAGAACAAATCCAGACAAAAAGAGAGAGCTACCTAGAGAGAAAGAAGACCATGGATTCTGCTCTGAGTGCCTCTTTGGATAGATGGATTTTAAAGCCTGCTTGTGGCTTTCAGGGTGGAGAGAGGACTGTGGACACAGCTTCATCGTAGGCAGAGAGAAGAGGAGTTCTGCTGGAGAGCTCAAGCAATCAGAGATATGAGACAGCTAGCTGGTAAGCACATATCCCGTGGTCTTGGAACAGCTTGGAGGCAATCACTGTTTCACCGTGTTTCTTGGTTTGTGTCTAGTTGTCACTTTGACCAGGCTCTTTCAGAACCTGATCCTGCAAATAGCTGGGCTGGTGTCTGTGGTGGTGGAGGGTGGCCCACTTGCTGTGTCATACACGTTCCTTGTATTAATTCAGCTGCAGCAGATGCTCTTGCCTCAGCAATGCGAGCTGTCTCCCCTAAGTGCTCTTTCTCAGACACCTGGAGTTCAGCCAGGGCATGTTTGCTGTGTGACACTAAGTTGTTCGAAGTTCTACTAAGTTGTTTGTTTTTTTTTCCTGTCAATCTTTTCCTGCCCTGCAACGCAGCAGCTTTCAGACTGTGGCGCCTGCAGAAGGAGCTACTAAGCAAAGAGGAAGCCAGGCTTTTGGAAGCCCGCGCTCTGCTGGAAAAGAAGCAGCTACGAAAAGTTTTCTGGCTGTGGCGTTCCCGATGCTTGGAAATGGAACAGATTTTAGCACTGACAACTCAGATCCAAAGAAACTTGGTCTCCCGGTAAGTTGATGAGGTCTGTTTTTTTCATGTGAAGTCTGTTCACTGTGAAAGTCCAAGGAATGCCAAAACCGACCCAGACAGTGATGTGTTGCTCCATCTTAAAGCCATATATTCTTTTGTTTTATGAGTTGATAGAGATGAAAGTAGGGATAGAAACATGAAAAGGAAGTGCTGTGGCCAGAGATGTTACAACTTGCCTTCTGTGCACTGCCAAAGCTTTTTGGTCCTGATCTTTGATGTCCTGAAAGACCAAACCTGAGAGCACCCACCGTGCTGCTGTGCTCTAAGCATGACAGTTGCTTTTTAATGAAATAATCGAATAGAAGCTCAGAAGACAACAGCTTCTGTCTGTCTTTTGTGAACTAAACCCAGTTTCAGGAGGCAACACAAGCTTGTACATGTGGTTTTCCATGTGGTTTTATTTTCCTTTGGTATTTTCAGGTGCTTCAGTGCATGGAAGGGGACTGTTGAGCGGAAGACACTTTACAGGTGCAACCTGGCCCATCTCAGAGCAGTATCACTGAGGAAATACTTCCAGCACTGGGTTCAGATGCTGCAGGTCAGAGAAGATGATAAGCAGGCAATGATGAACTTCATCCTTCTACAGTGGAGGCAACATTATGGTGAGCAGCTTGGAGTCTGTGCAGAATCTAAGATTTGGAGGTGCTTAGGCTCCTTTTCTTCTCTTCTTTTATGGTGAAAACCAGCTGAATACAGCCTGATAGCAGAGCGGCTCAGATGATACACGGTATTAAAAAACCAGAGTGGGCAGAGGACTAGTTGTTCTGGATGTGTCAGTGAAGCTACAGAAGTGTTCTGTTTCATAAATATAGCAGAAGGTCTTAAACCTCACTGCAAAGAAGCAGTTTGAGGGCTGGGCTGGGATGAGTTTCTTAGGAAACTGTTTTCATTTGCCTTCTGACAAATGTTGTCTCTGTCACCTCTGTAACTGGTTAAGGACCAGTTATAAGCTCAGTAGCTGACAAGACTGCAACAGAGAAGCACGAAGATCAGCCATTGTGGACTGTAAAGAGACGGTTTCTGGAGAAAACGGGCTACTCTTTTGATGACTTCTGCCAAAAGATGAAGCTCCAGAGAGTGTATCTGCTGTGGAAAGCAAGGCTGTGTGAGCATCATAGAGCTGAGTGAGTGAAGATGAGCCAGTTCCTGGAGCCCTGCCCTCATTAGTAGTGTTCACTTGACTTTCTGGTCCTCCTGGAAGAACCCCTTTTACCATCTATCACCCATCATGTCTGTACTAGTGTCCCCCTTTGATACACCTTTTCAGTCACTTTGCTGTCTCAATATCTTCTGTTTCAGTTTTTTCTCTCAGACTTTGGAGCAACATAGACTCAGAAAAGCTCTGAAATTATGGCACCGAAAGTGTCTCACACTGAAAACAATTGAACAATGTCCCAAGCACTCACACAAGACTGTCTGTGAAGAACCTTTTGCCATGCAGTTTTCTGAGGACCTATCAACATCTTCTGGCTTTGACAGCAGTGCTCCAGCTACTCTGGCCTCTCAAAGCTCATTGGAAAAGGTGAGGAGGTCTTGATACATCCACATTGTTCTGATGTATTAAATTGATGGGATTTCTGTGGGGAGAATTTCTGCTTCAACATGATATTGTCATCAGCAAACTGTGCTTAGTATTTAGGCCCAAAGAGCACTGAGCCTGTAGGGTCCTGGAGTTGAAATGTAATCAGAAGTCGTAAAGTCACTTCTCTCTGTGCCCTTCCTGATTCATCATTTAGTGATCTGGGGAGATGCTGAGCTAGTGAGGATCTCCTGTGCACTTGCTCCTGTTTGTGGGTGCAAAGTGGAAGGAATGAGGTACAAAGAGCCTCATCACTGAGAAAGTGCATGTGCCTGTTTCCCCTCTTCTCAGCATAAAGTCACTGTATAACTATTCAGTATAGAAATAACTAGTATAGAAATAACTTCCCCATCACTTACGTGTCCGTACTCCAGAGCTGTACTTTATAGCCTGCAATTTCCTTGGATGCATCCTGGATTTCCCTGAATCCTTGCCAAAAAGAGGAGGAAATGTCATGGTTGGAACTGTTAGCCGAATGGTTCCACTGTGGGGACACTTACCTCACAGCGTGTTCTTCCCTCTGTACCTGCAGGAATACAGTTTTAGTGGCAGCAGCCAGCAGAGCTTCTCCCCGGTTCTAACTGCTGGGAATGTCGCACACAGACCGAATTACAGTTCTTTCCTGCAACAAGGCCAGCGTGCAGAGCTGCCAGCTGAGCTGGGTGGGGAGCTGGGCTTACAGGCCTCCTTTCCTCCACAGTGTACTGGATCTGGGTGAGTTGGAGACTGGTTCCTTGGGGTACTGGTAGCAGTGGTCCCTTGTTTGGTTTGGCTGAATTCCTCCCTTCTGGTTAGTCCCTCATGTCACGTCACATCATCCTTCCAGATACTTTATTCTCTTTTTTTTCTTTTCCTTTTCCCCTTACACTTCTGTCTTACAGAAGAAACTGGTTAGTGGGAGTTCAATTCCAGTCTTTGGCACTGCAGATTCCAGACAGTAATGTCCAGCCTCTCACCAGTTACTCTACATGGGAACAGGTAAGCCTGGGAAGTGTTGTGATGCATATAAACGTACAAGTGTTTTCTGCATAGCTGAATTTTGCAAAGAGCCTTTGGGTTTCAGTATCAGCATATGGAAGGTCTCACTGCTGTTCTCTCTTTGTTCTTCTCTCTTCTCTCTGACAGAAGGTTTGGGAGATTGAGGCATTTCTCAGGGTAACTCTTCCCTACCATTTGCCAGCTGAGTTGGAAATTGGCCATGTGTCAAGGATTTAACAGGGATGTGTTAGACCCTTGTGTCTGGGTGTTCATGTAGTGTGTGGGGGTTAGCAACAGAGCGCTGGGCAATCATGGAAGTCACAGCAGCAAGGAGAAAGGGCTGAGCTGCATGGAGTAACTGTTGCAGCAGTTCAAGGCCCTTTTTTGTTTTTCCTGATTACAGAACTGCAGTTCTGACAAGGAAGTGAAGAGTTGCTGGCACCAAGCAGAGAAGTGCTGTCTGCAGAGGTACTTCATTGTCTGGTCAGCTCGGACTCGGCAACTTGTAAAGGCCCAGCAGTGCTGCAGGCTCATTCAGCTGTCTCGGTAGGTATTATGCTTTCCAGAAGTTTCCTAAAGCTGTCTGTTTTGGGAGCTCTACACTTGCTTTTAAGAAAGAATTTCTTCCTCTAGCTATGTTTTTCTGTCCTCAGTGGGAGTTTCGCAGCCTATTATTTTGGTTTTTTCCTGCTTTTCCTGTTTTTTCCTGTGTTAAATATAACACAATCATTTCTGGTTTGATGGGATGCCTCACAAATTAAGAGCAAGCCCAGCACTGCTGATAACAAGCCCTAGTAACTTCCTATCCGCTGACTTGGCCTTGTTCTCATTTGGAAGTTGAAGAGCACAGCAGGCCCAAGAACTTGCCCTGTCCATCGCTTCCCCTGACATTTAATGGAGAGAGGATGTTAACAGATCAGATACATTTCCTAAACTCCCTCATGTTATGTTTATTGTTAAAGTTTCAGTTACAAGGGTGTGAAACTTTGAGTTGTTCCTACAGATGATTCAATGACCTTTGTCTTTCTCAGAGCCTTTCTCGGCTGGCACCACTGGGTTGTGGAAAATAAGAACCAAAAAGCAGCAGCAGCAGCAGCAGCCCTAAAACATCAAGTTCATTACTGCCAGATGGCTTTCAGCCTATGGAAGAAGAGAGTGGCCCAGAAAGTGGAAGCTGACCGGAGATTCAGGTGTCACATTCACCAGATGACTGCTGATGCTCTGTGGCGTTGGCATTCCTACTGGCAACGTGAGTTCCCCATCCTACAGCAGCACTTGTGTTTGTAGGAGGAGGATGCTGTGGGAATGGTTGGAATGGGGAAAGTTCCACTTCAGGTTGTAACTGTGCACTGCTTCTCTGGGATGGCACAAACGAGCCCGGGAGTCAGTAAGTGCCTGTATCGCTGCCTTGTGATTACAAGCAGGATACGTGCCCTGCTGTTCTGTAGCACTTTATGCTGGGGCAGATGTTCCTTGGCAGCTGATTGGAAAAGGGGTGGATCTTGCTTTACCTTCACTACCAAAGGAGTGTTCAAGTAGTGTATTTTAGCAGCTGGGGAGTTGAATGGAGTTCAGGTGCAGTATTCCAAGCTTGAACATACGTTCTCAGACCCAACAGTCAGGCTTTGCTTCAGTGGGAGCAGGGTGTATCTTTTGGGGCTGTCTGACAGTCCTGATCCTGCCCCTCAGGGGTTTCCACATGCTTTAAGTGTTAAGTACTTACACAGTGCAAGGGAAGGAACACTCCTTATTTTTATGGAAAACTGCCTTGCAGATAAGAGTGGAAGTGCACTGCAATCCCTTGCTTGGGGAAGGGTGGGTAGGGGAAAAAAAGGTCTGACCGCCTTGCAGACAAAAAACTACAAGGTAAATTGAAAAATCTCTTCAGATGCATAAAGAGAGGACAAGAAATCTTAGAAAGTCTGGTCCCATTTGGTACTTGCAGCACCTGTATTCTTTGCTCTTGTTTGGACTCTGAGATTGGAAAAAAAAATCGATGGGCTCAGCTCAGCAGGGTCTTCTGTTCTCCCCCAGGGAAACGTGCTGCAAGAGAGCTGCAGCAGCAATGGGCTCAGCACAGCTGCCAGGAGAAGAAGAGGTTGATCCTGCAAATATGGTATTGCCAAACAAGGAAGCAGAAAGATGCTGCTTTATTCTGGGATCGTCTTCTCCTGCACAGGTTTCTTTCCTGCCCTGAAAGCATTTCCAAGGGAAGCTTTGAGTGAAGAGCAATTTATGTAGCAGAGAATCCAGTGTATTTAGACTAGAGCTTGGGTTTGAAAGTACAGCTAACTTGTGTGTAAATGGAGCTTCTGTATGAGCACTTCCCTGGGGGTGCTCCTACATTAAGGGGTCTGTTACCCATAGCCTCACACTTGCCATCTCGTTCTTCTCATTCAAAACTTCTTTTCTTTCCAGACCTTCTGTTCAGTCTTAGTTACGCAGTGTGGTATTTGTAAACTAAGCAAGGGAGATGCAAACAAATTTGTGTAGTTTAAAAAAGTGAAAGCCTCATTTCCACTGGAATTACTATTTGTTGAAAGGAATACTGGGCAGAGGTCTTACAGAGATCTGATGTTTACAACCCTGCATCTTTTCGATTCTGGATACAGCATGTTGATTTTATTTTAAACTAATGTGAAAAATTTAGTCCAATATATTCCTGCAGAAAAGCAATACTCAGTAAAGCCTGGGAAGGAAAAATCATGATAATTCATCTTGGTGTTAGTTGCAATATAGGTGAAGCTTCAGTGTATTTTGGAGTCTTACGTCATGGTACAGATCCTGAAAACACAAGAATTTGATCTGAAGAGTAAGGTGTCTGCTGCCAGTCATTAACAACTTGTCTCTTAGCTGTTCAGTAACTTTCTCATTGAAATCTGTTTTGTTTGTGGTTTATGTTGTGTGAGGCTACTGTCTGCCTGAACTGCAGTGAACTGTCCAGCTGCAGTGAACCAGGAATTGTTCAGGTCATTCTCTTTGAGATAATTCAGGAGGGTAAGAATGAATAAGATTATTTTATGCCAAGGATTTATTTAAGGCCGGTACAAGTTTGGCCCTAGCAGATTTCCTTTTGAATTGCAAGTTCAGGCTGAGAGGAGACAAAGATTTGCAGAGGAAAGAGTAACTAAAACCCCAGTAAAACCTTAGCGGCTGTGATGCTTAGACTCTGCACTCACTCCACCCAATTGCATTTTCTTCTGCAAATCAATCTGTGTGGTGGCACCCTAGTGAGAAGTGTGTTTGAGAGAAGTCCTTAATGTTGCTCCTTCCTGTAGAGTGTGTCTCCACCATTAATCTTCCTTCTGAGTTCTCCTTTGATGAGAGAGCACTTCCAATTTCTCACCTGGATATGGTACAGGCTGAGGCCTGTCTCTTCTGAGGGGGGCATTTTTCATGCTAGGATAACCTGCAATAGATTCTCTTGATCTTCAGAGAAGCCTGCCAGGCAGAGGATATTTACACCTCTGCCCTATGGTGCAGTGGGGTGATTTGCATAATGAAAGTCCAAGTGGAACAAGAAACCACAAGGATAAGCCAGGAGTTAAAAGCAGATTGGCTTCTGGGGTTGCAGAGGAAGACTGGCCTCCTGTGCATCAGCCTGCAAGATATAGATTATTGTGGGTGCAGATTTACAGTGCTGTTAATAGTAACTCCTGTAGACATCGATTTTTTTGGAATAAAATTGTCTCCGTAAAGATTCTAGTTGTACATCTAGTTGTACATACATAGTGTGTGACAGCCAAGAAAAAATTGAATATCTGAATCTTGATAACAAGCTGCTGTCTTAAATCCAGCTTGGTTCTGCAGCAAACAGACTTAAGGAGTCTGCTGAGATCCATGCTGATGGAGATTTTAGCAGGTTTACTCTCATCCTATAAAGAAAAAGCCTTGCTCAAGCATCATCCTAAAGGTCAGCTGCTGGCACAGAAAAAGATGGCAGACTGACTAATTTCATTCCTCTTTCACTATGTGTAGTGGCAGGGCAGCCTAGGAAAAGTGCTTTGTAGGTAAAGGAAAACCACAGTATAACACTGCATTCAGTTTGCAGACGCCTTTGAAGAGGAGGAAATTCTAAAATGATCAGGAGGAAGCAGTCATACTCCTGGGCTTTGAGGAGTTGCAAGGTAACAGTGCTGGGAATCTGAAATACAATGAGAAGTTTTTAGTAGAAAGAAACTGTAGTGAAGAGGCTGAATTTACACCTCCCAAGGACAAGACACTGGAAAAACAAGTAACATGGAGAAAGATAACATAAATGTTAGTTGCAGAAGGAATAATAGGAACAGGCTTTTTTCTTATTGAATGTTCTTTTAGCTTGCTTTGACCACTTATGTGCGGGTCATACTGCAGGGTGGGTTGAGAAGGCAGAATTTGGTCTATAGCCTGTTCGGTGCTGACACAGAAATGTGACTTTAGGCATCTGCCACTTTTCTGTGCTTGTATTGTTTTTCAGGTGCCTGGTTACCTGGGCCCAGGTCACAGCTTGTAGACTGAGGCAGCACAAAGCACTCTCTTGTTTTAAAAGGGTCAGAGAGCACCATCTCCTAGTTGTGAGCTTTACTGAGTGGAAGGTGAAATTCTTGAGAGCTGAACAGCGGGTGCTGGGAGAGAGAAACCACAGGTGGCAGGAACCCTCTCCGGGTAAAGCCTGTCACCGCTGGCGACTGGCCTCAAGAGGACAGCAAGCCCTGCGCCTAGGATCTGTGGATACTGTAAAACAGGTAAGAAGAAATGAACGTCCTAAGGAGACAGTTATTCTTAACTGCCTGTTCTGTTGTGAAGACCTCAGTGAGTCACTAGACACTGAGACACGATGATCAAGGCTTGTATAAAAACCTGGTTTGACTCATGGTGACTGCTTAGTCCCTGCCTTGAAATTCTTTGCAGACTGTGCACGCAACTTCATCACCATAATCTGGCACTGATTGCAGCAACCATCTGGAGCACAGCAATAAGGAATGGGGACATTTTGACCAGAGAGACAAGAGTGCTCCTTCCTCTCTGCTCAAAGATGAGATGGGATAATCACTGTCCCTGCAGAGCAGAGCGAGCTGTCAGAGTTGCAGTTTTTTTCAAAAGGCTCACAGCTAGCAAACCACAAAGAGGTCGATTGATTTGGAAGGGTTGAGTCGGTCCTGCTGGGATCTCATCTGTGCAGTTTCCAGCCTGGGGTCTAGCACATTAAACTACCTGCAGGGATATGAACATAAATGTATCTCTAAGGCTACTTTGTGTGTGTGCTGTCTGTGTGTATTGTGTTTAGTCTTGGCTGCAGCTGTGTTATTTCTGATTGCAGGCCTGCAACTACTGGACAAAAGCAGCTGCCTTTTCCCAATGCTCACGGCAGTGCAGTACTCTGATAGGTGCTAGGAAAAGCAGGAAGATGTCTCTGTCTTGGTCCATGAGTAAGAAGATGCCCAGTTCTCTCTTTTTTTTTCACGGGGCTATGTGGAGGGTGTGAGTGAGGAGGGAAGGGGAGTGCTGTTTGCCAGCTGTATGACTGGGATTACTCTGTGGAGTAAGTGCTCATTGCAATCAAACTCAGACTGTGGGTTGCTTCTGTGTTCAGGAGCCAAAGGACTAAAGGTTTATGACAGTTCTGATCTCTACCTCTTTAGCCCTGAGGTTAGCTCCTGTGTGATTCCTCTTTTCTTTCCTAGAAGGTGGAAGAGGCAGAGAAAAGGGTTCAGCACCAGCTGTCCCTCCTGGACTTTTTCCCAGTGCCATTCACCGCTGGCTGGTGATCTACAGAAACCAAAGCCAGTCTGAAAGGCTGATGCTCCCTTACCTGGTAGAGAGACCTGGTATGGTAGGACCCTGTCCTGCACATGCAAGGGTCCAGGACAACAAAGCAGAGGTGGGCTTGGAAGAGCAGGATGAAAAGTGGCTTGGGTAAGTAGAGTGGAGGGCTCTGGGTTTCCTATTGTTGCTGCCATCAAGGAAGGAGTCTCTTGTAGAGCTGCTGGGCTGATAAAGCTTATTTTCCCCTCTTACCTACAGAAGGAAGTATCTGAGGTGGTGGCATCACATGGTGATACTTCGCCGGTGCCAGCATGACAGGAGACTCCGCTGTCTGGCAAGGGGATGGCGTCAATGGAAAGAAGCGAGCAGGGTGGTGATCCTGGCTCAGGTGTTGGTGAGTGTCACCAGGGTGGCAGTGATGGGGTTACTGGGCAAGCCTGCTCTGCTTGCAGCCTCACACACATTCTGGGAGATGAGACATGGGGATTTAACAAGTATCAGAGTGCACAGAAATCCTGGTGTGCTGCTGTAGCTACTTTTTCCATCCTTCTCTTTGAAATAGCAGCATGGCAGACATTTAGCTGTGCTTTACCCCATCTTACAGATGGGAAGCTGAGACAGGATGATTGTCCGTAGCCTATGCAAAAAGTTCACAGCAAGTATCACATCTGTGTTCCTGATGCATCCCTCTGGTGTCCACAGCCTACCAAGGGCTGTCATCTGGCTTCCCCTTCTGCTCAGCCCTAGCCGTCTATGGAACAGACCCGTGTTCTGTCTGGTTTCTTGGGCATTAGCTGTGTGAGATGTGCTCTGACCCGCCCAGGAGACAAGATGATACACATATAGTGAGTGCATCCATAGTCACTGAGGAGCTGTGCTGGAGCACTGGTGGGGCACTGTCCTTTCCCCAGGCTGCTGTGACTTAATTAACCATAGTATTTGAAGGAGACAGTAGTTCAGCAAGAGCTTTGTTAGCAGTCAGCTCTGTTTGTTACCAATGCAAAGTCGTTCAAGAGGGACCTGGGAAAGCAATTGGAAGCAAGGTGGGACTAGAGGGAAGTGAGGTAGTTTGCCTGCCAGAGCCCAATTAATGTGTGCACTGCCTCTTTTCCTGGCAGGACCAGCAGCGGCTGATAGAAAAGGCCTGGAGGTTGTGGAGACGACGACATTTGCAAAACTGTGTGGTGCAGAATTTTTTGGAGGAGGAAGCCAGGAGCCTACTATCTCAGGTAAGCTTTTATGACTGCTTTAATTCTGTGGACCTCAGTGGACCAAAACGCACCCCAAAAGAACAACTGGTGTTCTCTGTATCTCTCTCCCTGCACAAAGCACTTGCTTAGGGAGAAGTTGAATGCATCAAGGAATGGGACTTGCTTATAACAAAGGGAAATAGCTTCCAGCTTTATAGGGGTTCATCTTTGTGTGTTTTTCAAAGCTTTGTGTCAGCAGTCAATTTCCCTGATGTGTGCCCCCTTCCCCACTGTTACCAGAGATGTTAATCCACTAATCCCCTGCCTCTCAAGAGTCCACTCAGGGAAGAAACAGGCTCCACATCGGTGAGGAGGACCATGCTGACTTGCACCCAGGGGCAGACAAAATTGCTATAAATTTTGAGTGAGCAGGCAAAGGCTTAGAGCTCCAATAGCCAGTTCACTCCTCTACTGCCTCCCGAAGATCCAAGATGAGAGCAAGGGCAGAAATCAGAGGGCGGAGTGGGCACTGGTCTTCCTTTTCTCAGATTGATTTGTACTCTGCACTTCACTTACTGGCTACAGGAACATCGGGGAGACAGGGCAGGGCTCTGAGCAAATGGTGAGGCAGTTGGCATAGCCATTGCTAGAGGAAAAGCTGTGTTTACGGGTACTGTGAGGGTGGCTGCAACCCCTCAAGGGTAACCTGAGTATTTGATTTGTCCACTTTACTATTTAAGGCCTTTGGAAGGTGGCGCCAGCTAACAGCATTCCAGCTCAAGGACAAAGAACGCTTCTGAATGGTGGGGGCCTGCCTGCAGCTGCTGCTCATTTCAGGACACGTGGAGGATACAGCTGGCTGTCACAACAAAGAGCTGGTCCTGCACAATCAAGAAAGTGAATGCTCTGCTCGAGATAGAAGCAGTGCTGCAGGCCAGAAGCATGGTAGCCAAAGGACAACCAGGAAGAGGTGGTACCTAGTGAAAGTTCCTCTTTAAAGGACCAATATCCTACCTCCTTAGAGGCACAAATTGGAGAAGTTATTCCCTTTTGCTGTGAGGTTGCATTCCCTTCTCCTCCGGACCCTGATTTTGCTGGAATTCTGATTAAAGGTCAAAACCTCACCTTACAGACTTTCCCCTTTACTCAATGTTTTTTGCTGGACAGGAGTTTAGTGTCATGCAGGGAGTAAGCAAATACCTCAGTCTTAAAGTGGTGAGCAGGAGCCTGCCTGCACAAACCTACATCCTGTTGATTCCAAGGTCTGGACTGTCCTGGGTAGGTGTGAACACAGGTCTTTATTTTTAGATTTGGCTCTTCCCCTGGGGGGGATTCCCACATGGCTCCCACCTCCTCCCCCTGTCTAGGTCCATCAGCTCTTCATTAAAGCCTTTCAGTGGGTGGCCAACCTCTTGACTGGTTCCTGCTGGTTCCTTTCTGTGCTGAATGGGCTAGGGATGAAGGAACCTGCTGGGAACAGCTGAGCACCAAAAGCTTTGCTGAGGCAAGACAGGCGTGTCTGACCCCCAACCTTCCCATTACTTGCTTCTATGATTGATGCCCTGTAATTACCCTGGATATATGAGCCCAGTCTCAGACAGCTGTAATGAGAGGGTCTGAAGAATCTGGGAGAGGCTTTTCTTCCTTACTTGTTTGAAAGAGATGCTCACAGCGTGGCAGGGATCTTGAAATCCCACTGGGAACTGCCCCAAGGTCTTGTTTTCCTAGCCTGTGGTAGCTTTGCAGGATTGTTAAGTACACAAAGAAGCCTCCGTAGCTTCCCCAACCCCTTTCAGTGCTGTGGGGCCTAAGGCTGTGTTAAGAGGCATTAGGTCAGGAAAGATAGGCTGTCTCTCCCTACAGGTACTGGAAAAGGACCACCACACCTTCTGTGAAGTTGCAGAACTGAGACAAAGGTTGTAGCTGGTTGCTTTGGGTAAACTCTAGGATTTAAACTTTCTCTTGTCTACTCTGGAGCTCTGTCCATACTTTACTTATGGCATATGTTGAAAGTGAAGGCAGAATTGCCCCATAAACAATAGGTTTGCTTAAAATTTTCCTTTGTGCAAGGCTGATTAGTTTGTAAACATTGAGTCTTTGCTACTTACAAAAGTAGGGCCTAGTACAAGACACATTTGTATTTGTGTATCTTACTGTATTTAATCTGAGAAATAGTGTGATTCCTAATCAGTCTCACTCGTGAAATTCACATATTCCTATTAAAAAGAAAACAGGAAATACAATAAAAGTTAGGGAGAAAACTTGAACCTTCTGGAGTGAGTGCAAAAGAGCCTGATATGATCAGTTATGAAGAAATACATCTTAGGAGTGCAATGTAAAAGCAACTTGAGCAGCTTTTCAGGGTTAGTAACTGCTGAAATAGTATCCTTGCATAGGCACTGCTGACAGGAGTGTGTCTATCCCCAAAGCAGAGTTTCTGGCATGAGAACACTACCAGAATCTCACTGAGTTTTATCACATTGATGCACAAGAGTTTTCCTGTTACCGTAGTCAACATAGCCATGATTAGCACCTCTTCATCCCACAGAGCTGGCCTTCAAGCTCAGGCTAGAGCCTCAGCTCAGAGCTTCAGGTAGTTGTGACTAATGTTCAGTGAGAAGGGGTCAGGGAGCTTTTGTGCTGGGGGTGGAAGAGCATGTAGTGTGGGTAGATCAGAGCGCTAGCCAGGTCACTGGGCTCAGGAGCATGTGCTCTACCATCAGCACAGGAGCTGCTTTTTCTCTCCCCACAGTCTGTGGACGGAAGGAGAAAATAAAGAAGAGGAATTTTCACTGCTGAGTTGGAGAGTTCAGCAGCTCAAAAGTATCATCCACAACCTGCCAGAGGCAGTTTTCAAGTGGGAAGTCATTGTCCACCAGGTTGACCAAGTAGTAGTTGTCATGGATGTACTGGATGATCATGCGAGAGGGTGACTCCTCTTCATAGAGCTTGGCCCACTGCTCAATCCACAGTGCAAAGGCCTCATCCTGCCAAGGGGAAAAAAAAAAAATAATGTGGGCAGTGGTGTAATGCACATTTTCAAGCTACGTTTTCATATTATTTCATTTAGGACAACCAGTGTCACACATGCCTGGCCAGCTTGTGGCTTGTTTCTTCTCAGTAAAAACTGCAAGAGCTGAGCAAGGAGCTTCATGCTTACACTGAGGGAGCAGGAGCAGCAATATCTGGAGCTCTGAAAGCTAGTACCACAACAGTACTTGATTGCAAGAAGTGTCAGACTAAAACCAGACCAGACATGTTTGCAGTAAAATGGCTCAATACTGCCCCTGTGTGTGTAAGAGGGGAAAGAGCGCGACTGCCCAGAGCTCTGGGGCCCACGACAGTGACAGTGGTAGCTCCCAAGCCTGTTACTGGGCACCTGCTCTGTGAAGAGCTCTTGCCAGAGCAAACTTCTTACACCGACAGAGCAAGAGGAGCATTATCTGGAGCTCTGCAAGGTAAGATCACAACAGTACTCAATAGAAAGAAGTGTCACAGACTTAAACCAGCCACTCTGAACTTCTAGGGCATCACAGCAGGAGGGAGGGAGGACTCACCTTCCAGGAGAGGAAGCTCACAGGATCCACTACAGTGGGCTGGATGATCTCTCTGCCTGGGAAGATGCCCCAGGTGACAGCATTGGGTTGCAGATCTGGAGCATTGGTGATATTTTGGCCCTGCCAAAGGAAGGAAAACCTTTCTGAAGTAACTGCTGGAGAAGGGATTGAGTTGGAACAAGTGCATTTACTCTCTCTGTGTAAGAGATCAGACAGCTGCTGTGCATCACAGCTGACTTGCTTCTCTTGCCCTTCCCTTCATCAGCCTTCATGTCCTGCTTTGATCATAGTGATATCTGAATCTTTGATATTTGCCTCTCTCCCAAGGTGGTGAAAAGAAAGTGTCCTGTAAACAACAGCCTACCTTGACATTGACAATGTGGTAGTTCACTCGCAACTCATACTTCTTCAGCACTTTGAGCAGTGCCGTGACGATCTCACTGGAGGTGAAGAACTCGAGGTATGCCTACAGGGAGGGAAGGGCAAAGAGATTAAGCGCCTTTACTCAGGGCAGGGCTGGGACACATACAGGCAACCAAGACGACAATTGTAGAGTCTGGGCTGCATGGAAACCAGGCAGCTTAAGACTTGTACATCCATTCCCAGAAACACATCCTACAGAGGATGCTTGAGCAAATTAGTAAGAGAGCTGGGGGGCAGAGTGGAGAATTCCGGAGAGCAGAGGCAGTAACTTAGGAGCAGCGAGTTCAGGAAGGCTACAGTCTTCCTGATTTTCACCCATTAAGCTGTCAGGCTGGAGTAAGCTCCAGAAAGCGTCACAACTGCTGTGCCTGGGGAGCAGTCTGTGCTAGACAGAGTGCTTGGAAGAGGCCTGAGCTCAACCTCTGTTCTACATGGTACACTGTGAATGGCAGTCCTGCCAAGGCAGCCCAGTCTGGCCAAAGCAGAAGTCAGGGGTCTCAGCTGGGCTCTCCCAAGCACCCTACCATTCCCTGTCCTCATCTTTAGTTCACATTTCTTCCTGTGTGCTTATACAACCCAATTCTGTACTTGCTCCATCTACCGCTGCTCTGTGCTTGGCTGCTCCTAACAACTGCTTCCCCTCCCCCCATTTCCTGGCTATTGTGTGAGATGATGGATTTCTCCTCAGGGGAATTTTTTCCTTTGAAAAACATAACTGCATTTGCCATCTGCTGGTCTCATGGCTTTAGCGGTTTGGATCCCTTTTGAACAAGACTGCTTTGTTTCCTAGTATGAGCCACTTGCTTGGCATTTACCTTGATGGGAGATTCCTATCACAGCCATTAGTGGCAAGGCTCTAGGGCCTGGAAATGCACGGCTGTAGCAGACAGGCATGGGAGATAAGACTGCTTGCAGGCCAGAGAAGGAAAGTGGCAGCTTGCTGCGCTGTTCAGATGTGGTGCTGTGGGGTGGGAGGAATTGGTGGAGAACTCTGCCTTAGAGAAGGACAGATAGGGGGATTTTTAAATGCCTAGTTATTACCATGAGAAGCTGGATGGTAGACATATTATCTCATTGATTCCCATTTTATGAAAAACCTGGGTGCTTTCTGTATTACTGAATGGAATCAGATGCAGTGGGCAGGCACGTGTTTGTTTCTAAAACTTCAGAGTCCCACTCTTGAAAGAAGCTACCAATAATTACTTGCTGAGAGCAAACCCAAGAAACTCCATAGATGTTCAATAGACGTTCTGAGGTGGGGAAAAACAGCTATGAAGTAAGTGATAGAGATGACAGCCTGTCTCTTAGGACACCAAAGGAGCTTTGCTTCATCTCTGCAAGAAGGCATTAAGATATAAGGAGCTGGCAGAAGATTATCTGGGTGAAAGCCTAGGACCTGGAGACCAAACTGGGTCGTAACTCTTTGCTGCCTAGCCCACAGTAGTGTGGTACCTTTTGGAAGACATAACCCCCACTGGGCCCCCAGCCTACAATGGGGTCTGTGGATGGTTTGCCATTGATGTTTGGCTGGGAGTTGATGGTCAGGATTCCTCGTCTGTTAACCTTCTCCAGCTGCTCCTTCAGAAGGTTGGTTTCAGTAGCAAGAGGGTCGTCGTTCCAAGGCATACATGTAACCTACCGTGAGGAGAAAGGAGGAGTCACAATGGATGTAACAACCTTTTTGTTACCATCTGGATGGTGAAAAGAACTCAGAAGTATCCTAATGGTCTCAAACACACCTACTTCAGGACAGAATTCCCAGATTTGGTTCAAGGGACAGGATATCCTAAAGAATGACTGCTGAAGTCTATCGGTGCTGGTCCTGTTATACCATAGGCAGCTTTTATGCTGAGCCCTAGCTCTGGCTGTTGGATTACCTTCAGTCACTATAATATCTCAGCAAGCCCTTTTGGATAGGGAAGTGCCAATTCTTGTTTAGAAGAACAGTGTGGTACCATGAGCAAGAGGAAATACGCACTATTGTCTGTGCCACACTGACTATTCCTTTCTGGGCTATCACTTACCTTGTGCCCGTTCTTGTTGGGTTCTCCGGTGATGTAACACGTGAACACCTCAAAGACGCTTTCCTCACCAGTCAGCTCTTCTCCCCACATCTTCAGGAGCTCCTCCCGGGGAGACTTGCTCTTCAGGTAGAAGAGGTAATAGTCCTTCAGTTCCCCAAAGGCTGGAGAGGAGGAGTTGCCCCTGTAAGGGGAGCAGACACAGGATTAACAGGCCACTGAGGAAGATGAGCTGATTTGGTGATGCAGGAAAAGTAGTATCCAACAAAATCCACCTAGAGACCAAAAACTTCAACATCCTAGTGCTATTCTCCTCACCTCATTCAAACCCAAACAAGTGGGGACCACACCATTAGGAAGCCACCTGTTCTGTCAAGCCCAAAGCGTGTCCAGGACACCCACCAATGACAGAGACCAACTGTGGAGCAGGCCTTCATACCACACCTCCACCTCACTGCCCTTGCAGGCTGACACCTTACCATCGGCCATTGGGGAAATCATCCCATTCTTGTGTTCGATAGATGTAACTCTTTGGCCTAGAGGCCCAGAAGATTGGCCGAACATCTTCAACTCTTCTCTTGGGGTGAGCGCTGACTGCCCAGGGCAGGGGCCGCCTGCATGGGAGAAGCAGACATTAACACAGTTCCTCTGCTGACTTTCCACTAGAGGCTGGAAGTCCTTCCTTCCCCTGGAGAACTTTTGACGCTAGGGAGAGCAAGTAACAGCAGCTGAGAAGAGTTCTATTTGTCAAGAAGTAGGACAGAAAACTCTTCTTCCTCTATGGAAAATCTTTTCTTATTCAGTTCCCTCAAAGGATGCTCAGTAGGTGCCCTTTAAATGGTTAAATACAGGACTGACACCCAAAATTGGATAAGGTAAGGGAAAAGCACTGTGTGAAGCTATTTTTAACAGGAAGCAAATACAGCTATCCTGTTTCCTTTTCTTCCTCTTGTCTGTTCTGAAGCCTGTGGACTCAGAGAAAAGTCCATATTCCCTTCATCAACTTCAGAGAACCCTACAAATCCACAGTGGGAGCTTACATAGCACCCAGCCTGGTTTTTGAGGTTTGTTGTGACCTCAAAAAGCCATGTTTTTTCCAAGTGGCAGCTCTAAGGTTTAGGTTTTAAAAGTTCCAGAACAGGCTACTTTAAAGCCACTAGACTGAAACAAATTCATCCTTCAGCTATCCCCTCTATTCCTCCCCACTTTTGTCAGAGATCTGCAGGAAGGGTGAACTTCTAAGTGCAGAAAGGTGCTAAAAAAAGCAGCAGAGGAGAGGTGCTAATCATCCATTGCTTGAGCCTTCAGTAAATGGGATGGATGGATGGATGGATGGATGGATGGATGGATGGATGGATGGATGGATGGATGGATGTGAAAGAGGAACTACCAGAAGCCAGCCTGTTCTGCTCACCTAGGGTCCTCCTTCCACATGCCCAGGCGCTTAAGGACTTCGGTAGTAGCCACTTCCCGATTGAGGGTGTAAAAATGGAGCCCGTGCACCACACCACTATCCAACAGCTCCCGGCACATGGACACTGCCAGCTCCACCCCATAGTTCCGGATAGCTGCATCGTTGTCCTTGATGGGTTCAATCACGTCTTTGATTTCTTGAGGCACTTCCAGCTTGGAGAGCTTCACCAGCTGGCGCAGGGAGTGGTAACCCTGGATGAGGATGCAGGGGATTTTAATTTTTGCAACGTTCTTTTCTGACACCCCAGTAACACAGGTACTTGATCTCGATTTTGTGGCAACAGATTTCAAATTGGGGCTCCTGGATTCTACTCCTAGGCCCCATCTCTAGGATGATAACCTAGTCCTGGTCATGTCACTTTAGGTGATTTCTTCCCATTTCTTTGCCTGAGCCCAGCATGCTGACAGTAATGACTAACACCTTAAGACTGGTAAACCATTGTCTTTTATATCCCCTTTCACCATATGGGCACAGAAAACCTTTTAAGCTTATTATTACATGCCTAAGAGTTTAATTTGGCAAACCACTTACGGATTTATCACATTTAGCACACTCATTTCCCAGAAATGTTGTGGAGGATATTTAGAGGCCTCTCTCAGGCCCTGACCCACAAAAACCTGACATCCTGGATCCTTATTCCCCCCCCAAACCAGAATTACTGGATTTCACCTGTATGGGGAAGATGCCAGGAATAACAGGGCAGGTGATGCCAATGGCTTGACAGTCCTTCATGAACTTGAGAAAGGTTTCTGATCGGAAGAAAAGCTGCGTAATGATGAAGTCTGCCCCAGCAAAGACTTTCTCCTTCAGGTGCCTCAGGTCTGCCTCGTAGCTCTCTGCTTCAGGGTGACCCTTAGGGTAGCCTTTGGGGGAAAGGGGGGGGAAAAAAAAAAGACAAGTGAAACCCTGGTGGTCAGGACAACGTGCTAGAAATTAGAAAGCAGTCACAGCACAGGTCCAGAGAGGGACTGCTGAGCTGATTTCCCTGTCTCACCCTACCCACACTGCAATGACATTTACCTGCCACACAGATGTCAAAGTAATCATCAAATTCATTGCGAATGTGCTTAACCAGGTCAACAGCATAGTTGAAGCCATCTACTTCTTCCTCCCATTCTTCACCAACAGGATCTGAGGAGAGAACAAATCCATAGCGCTCTCCAACTGTTTGCTGGACCCAGATCTACTCGTGCTGTAAAAACTCACTATCAGAAGGAAGACAACATGAAACCTCCAAGTTTGCAGTTTTACCCACGGAATGGCTTTTGTCTACCCTTGAGCTGGAAGGATTGCTAATAAAGGGATCAGGTGAAATGCCATCTCAACTTTTAATTCCCACAGTGGAAGGAGCCTCTAAATCATATTTTTTCATTTTTACCCTGGAATTGAACACAATAGCAATACAGCCTCAGCCCTATGCTTCATAGGACTAAAGGATTCACCTCCACGCAACGCCATGATGTTCTTCAACCCGAGCCTCTTGGCCTTCTGCAGATGCCCTGTGATGTCATCCTTGGTCTGATTGCAGCATGTCATGTGCAGGATGGTCTCCAGGCCGCAGTAGTTGACCGCAGTGTTGGCAATAATCATGGATGAGGTTTCCTTGTCAGATCCTGGGTCCCCTGCAGGGTGCCATGTCACATCAATGAAGAGTGGACCACCTGCTCCCATGCGGTCAAACCTGTTGGTTTTAGAGCTGTGTGAGCTTACCATGTAGCCAACTCCCCTCTCTTTGCCTGGGATATCTTGCTCAGTGCTGGAATGCCAGTGACAGACAGAGAGAGCTGGGATAACAGCAGCAGGAGAGACCAAGAAAAGTGTTGAACTAGGGAGTTTAGCAAGTGGCCAATGTAAATCAGGAAAGTTACCCTTTAAAGCTCTATGAGGAGCTTACAGTCTCTTTGAAGAAGAGACAACTTAAGTATTCTCTGTAGAATCAACTTCCTCCCAGCATGCTCTATTAGACTGATATGTCTTCTAATAGACAGCAATGCGAGTCCCATTCCTTTTGAGATGGGACTATGCTGCAACCCCCTGTTCCCAGCTTTAACTGTAGAGGCCACAAATATGAAAAGATGGACCAGATCTCTGTTGTGTTCCCAGGTGTGCCTGCCTAACAGAAGAAACAAAGGCTCCTCTAACTTGTCTCTCTTCTGCTCTAGGTTGGAACAGGCCCTTCTGTTTAAAGTAAACCTGGCACTGGCATATACAAAAAGAGTTATGAAACTGCTTCTTCTCCTCCAGGTGAGTACATGGTGGCTCCTGGGGCTCCCCACTGGGCTCCAGAATAACCTTTAGCTCTGGGGACACCCATCTCAGAGGCTAAAACTGTAGTCCTCAGTAACAGAAGCACAAATCATAGTGGCTGAATAATTCTGAAAACAAGTGAGAGTCTCTGTTCCAGAGACTTGGGCACACTGCCTATCAATTAATACTCTCTGCTTTTAGTAGGTACTTTTCTGCTCTGTTCTCCCCCAGAACTCTGCTTCAGCCCCAGAACATGACAGGGGGGTTTTTCCATCTTCACAGAGCACAGGAGAGGGGAAACAATCTGTCCCCCTCAGTAACCCCGCCATGACACTTAACTCTTCAGGGCCTCCAAGGAAGACAAGTTACCTGGTGTCCATTACCCTCCTCAGCAGGAAAGCACAGCCCCATTACCTGCTTCGTCACCTGGAAGGGGAGACAGAGCATGGGGCAGAGCCTGCCTCATTAGCTATTTCCCAGCCCTCCACCAAAACCACTTCATCTCTCCCCTCTCCCACCCTGCAGCCCTCACCTGGAGATGAGATTGACAGCAGCATTGGCTGTACGTGGAGGGAAGAACTCCAAGGAGAACCACCTGTCTCCAGAGTCCTGCCGTCGACGCATCTTCTCCCGCAGCCGCTCATGACGGTCAGCATCGAGGACAGGGGTGGAGCAGCGTGAGCTGTCCTTGGAGCTCTCACTCCCACTGCTGCTGCCACCATCAGACTTGGAGCTGGAACTAGCACTGCAGGTATGCTGGGTCTCATTGACCATGGTGAGCTCTCTGGAGGAGAGGACCAGAAGGAGCACAGTGGGTACAAGACAGGACACGGATCTCAGCAAGGAGCGGTTACTGCTGGGGTGGGCAGCAGATGAAGAGGAAGCCTATGCCAAGACCAACATTAATCTTCATCAAGGGGTCCCTTTTGCCAGCCCTTGCTACAAGCTGTAGTGGGTGATCTGGTGAAAGCACAGTAAAAAGCATGTGTTTAGACAGTGCTGAGAGAAATAACACAGCAGATGGCTTCATGCCACTTTGATGCAGCTCTTCTGTGCCTGCTGGGTCAAATTTGGTTCTCAAAAGAGTCAGGTCAATGTCACTTTTGCCCTGATACAACTTATCAAGCCATGATACTCATGCATCAGGTAGCCTTGGCTGGACATGCCAGCAGACTTTTTCCCCTCCCCCCTACAGCAGCTGCTTCTTGGACCATATCCATCTTCAGAGTTTCCATTCTGTTTGTTCCCAAAAGGCAGCCCTTCTTTACAGCTTAGGTAGGAGAGCAAATGCTAATTGGGCAGGTACATAAGAATGCACAAACTATTCCTGCATCAGAAAAAAAAAGTGAAGAATCCCCTCTGGTCAGGCCATCCCCACAAATACCATCCTTTGTTTTGTCTCTGCTGGCATGAGACAGCTGCATTTCTAACCATTAGCCTTCTTCCACCAGACACACCATCTCCACAGACAACTGTCCCCTGCACCAGTATCACTGCATACACTCAGTGCTTTCCTTTACTAGACACACTGTTCATGTTCCTTTCCTCACTAATTGTGGCTGCTTGGAAACAAGGTCAGCAGAGTCCATCCCCTTCTCCCTGCTTTGTAACATGATCAGCTGTGCTTGTTGGCTTCACAGAAAGGAAAACGGCACTGCAAAGCAACCGGTACAAGTGGGTCTAGGATGCCCAGCTCCACTTAACTCCCCAAAGCATTTCACCCTATGCCTTTAAAATCTGTGATTACAGATATTTAGAGAAGAACTGCTGTAAATTTTGGATCCGCGTTATTTGCTTAAGTACCTGCCAAAACTCAAAATTGTCACTAGGAAGCAGCAAGCCGTTGGAGCATTACATAATATTGGAGCCTGCTTTGGAGGAAATGGTTGCATGAGCCAATGCACACTTTGTCCTTATCAAAAGCTCTGGGGGTTTAGGTCATCCAAGAAGACTTTGAACTCATCTTCCACTGTTTACACTGAGCTGCCTATCAAGCAAAACCCTGTGGGAGAAAGTCTACTTTTACCACCTGGGGACCTCTCTCCAGCTGGCAGGAGATATGATAAAAGAGTGCAGTCCTTCTACTGCCAAGAGGAACTGGGAGTCTTAAACCTTTTGTGTATCAACATAGCTGACCATGGTAAAAAGCAGCAGCCCAGGCTTACTGACAAGCGAAGCAAAAGCAACTGGGTGCACAGTAACAGGCCTGACCAAGCTCTCTCTGAGGACTTTGCCTGACATCCACATGGCACTAATCTGGGAGAATAATCCTAAGGCATATGTTGGTGATCAAACTAGTGGCACAAAATCACGTGCAGTCAACTCCGTGTGCCACAGCACCACAGGCAAATTAAACGACCTGTGTTTTCACACTTGAAATTTAACACCTATTACAAGGGAAGAGTTCATGTATTAATGTGACTATAGGGTGAGACTTGCTGTTGGCGAAAGGTCTGTATTTTACTGACAATCTAGAAACACAAAGACAGGAAAAAAGCCCCACTGAGATACAGTCTACAGGCAGTACTTGGAGTAGTTTCTTTACTATCAGATGCATCACAGATTTCCCGGTAGAAGCTTGCTGTTATTGCAAACAGATTTTCTAAGCAACAAAACCAGTTGCAAACTAAGACAGTCTTTAACACGTGTCAGCTCTGGTGGCTCAGCACTCGGGCCCCTCTGTCTCCATCACCCTGCAGCCCTCACAGCAAAGATCAGCGTGGAGGTGCCCATTTGCTTCGCTGCAGGATATTTTTCCTGCCTCCAGGCCTGAGCCGACACCCGCAGATGCTGTATGAAGGTCTGCGTTATCCTAAGCTGAGTTTCACCACCCAAGCTAAACTCAGCTGCACAGATGTACACTTCACATGGGGCACGCACGCCTACAAGGGACTCGTCCAGGGCCCCGCTGTCCTGGGCCGTGGCATCAGGCTGACGGTCCTACGGGGCAGGCAAGGGGCCCG